CTTATAGTTAGGGCCCTAGGCCCCCTTAAGGACCCAAGACTCAGGTCCCTGGAAGCATAGGGTACCAATAACAATAATGACAATAAGCGTAAAAAAACTGCACCTTCAGGCCTTCAAGCTCTGGAGCCCTGGATCCAACCCGAGCCCCCAAGATGAACTCCACAGAGCTCGCGCCAGACCAGAAGGGTGAACGGGAACAGACAAACTCCTAGAGCCTGGAGCCTAAATTCCAAAACCCCTGAGCTCTAAACCCGAGCCGAAATACAACCGAAAACCAGTAACCCCTTCAGTCCAACAGCCTCAGCCCTGAGCCCTAAACCTAACTACACCCTGAAGACCCCAAACCGGGTAGTTCTCTAAATTAGGGTCCCTTTTAGGGGCCTTTTCATAATTTATAAGGGTGCCGTACCATATGTGGGATCTGAAAAAGGGACCCTTATTTAGGGAACTACCCAACAAGCCTAAGGCTCTGAGCACGAAAACCCTCAACCCCAAACTCTTGGGCAAGCCACCCGGTGACGTCAAGACCTCAGAGTCCTCAAGGACCTGCCCTGTGCTACCTGAGCAGGGGGCCGAAAAGGGTTGGGGCTGAGGGTTCGGGGGTTTGGGCTTTAAGCTTTGGGTGTTTAGCGTTTGTGGTTTAGGGCTTGGGGTTCGGAGTTTGGGGTTAAGGGTTTAGCAGTTGAGATTCAGGATGTAGGACAGCAGGCGGGGCAGGGGTTCGAAGTATACGAGGGTTTGGGTCAGCTGTTGATTGTGGTCTTCTGTGGGTCTAAGGGTACGGATGAAGTCTTCATGGGTCTATGCAGAGGCCCCTAAGTCGTAAACTCGCATCGCATGCACCGGTCAGAGAAACAACGAACACGTGGAGAAACTCGGCTTTGTTCGATGCTCATCGTTTCCGGACTGAAGGACGCCTCTATCGGGCTTCAGGAACGAAGGACCAGGTTCTGCTCCTACAGTATAGGGTCCTAAAAAATAGTGGGAGCAAGTCTTGGGGGTATCTCATATTATAAACCATAGTACATAGTAACCCTAAACTCAAACCCAGAGGAAACTACGGACTAGAACGGGAAGCCGGTACCAAGGGTTTAGGGTTTAGTGCTTCGGGGTGCTGGGCCTCTGCAAGGCCATTTTAAGCACTAAGAATCCCAAGCATGCTCAGATCAGTGGCAATTCGTTCTCAGCCGCAACTACCTCGCTAGTACGCCTACTTGAGAGCACCTCGATGCTCCCTCATGAGCATGTAAACCCCAGAATCCAGTGCACAGGGCTTCCGGACTCTGCACCCTGACTTTAGCTGGGCGGCGCTGAATGAGTTTCTGCCTGAACCGAGGTATCCCACACCGATGATGTAGCAATGTCCTCAGGACTGACGCATTCTCTCTTTCTGTTTCTGGGGATTGGGCTTGACGGCTCGGGGCATCTGGGTTTGGAATGTTCAGGGTTGTGGATGTAGGGTTGCTAGGTGTCTCGCGCCAGACTGGCGTGCCCGTGGGAGCCCTGCGTCGGGCCCGGGCTGCAAACGTAAGGCTCTGTTACCCGGAACCTCAAGGAGAAGGGAAAGCGAAAAACTGGATCCACATTGGGTTAAACAGGATCCTTAGAAATTGATGCACACACACACACACGAAGAAGAGCTTCATGGCATGACGGTAAGGGAGATACCTCTCCCGCTGGTGCACCGGATCTCTTTGTGGATACTGATGTAAGGGTTAGGCTTTATCCTATAGGGTCTCGGACCCCGAAGGCCACTCCCTGTGATCCGTGGCTTGCGGTTTGGGGTTTGGGGCTTAGGGCCAGGTATCGGGTCTGGGGGTCGCAGCTCAGCAACTAGAGTAAGAGGTTTCGGGCGACCAGGGCTTATCCCACAACTCTTAACTTCAAACCCTAGGCAGCACAAAACAAGCTGCAAGAAGTGGATCGTAGAGGTCGGAATCACTAATCTGCCCTGACACGCCCTCTAGCTCCATACCCTGTCCTGATTATTAAGGCCCCTGTATTAGGATCTTCATTAATATTCCATGATTATATACACCAAAATCCCCGAGGGCTGAGACTCTGAACGCGACGCCAACTAAACCCCGAGGTAATGTCAGTCCTAAACTCGCATTTTTGTTTGGGTTGAAGGTCTGTGGGATCTAAGACCCTGAACCCTGAAACCACCCAAAAGCTGAAACCTGAAACCCTGAACTCCCTCCACGGACCCCTCCCCTCTCCAAGTTCCAGAACTGAACCCTGTAAAGCCCAATTAAATCCCTAAACCCGCAACCGTAAATCTAAACCCCCAGGACACAAGGCAAGCTTCTTGAGGTCCCTCACTGACTTGCTCAGACGCCGTGATGAGACATCCTTCTCCTCAGTTGCAAAACTCTGTAAATGAGGGTTATAGGGCTCAGGGTTTCTCAGGTACCTGACGGTCCGTAACTGTGAAGTCATCATGTACGATCTCACTACACAAGTTCTTTGATTGTTCTGGCTCCTGGAAGCTACTTCGTGAGCTTCTGTGCGCGATGGTAGCTACATGGGTAGTTCTCTAAATCAGGATCCCTTTTGGAGGCCCTTTATACTGCAATCGTGCGGTACTATATTGGGGACCTAAAAAGGGACCCTTATTTAGAGAACTACCTACATGGTTCATCCGGCTTAGCAGGTGCAAGACTTCAGGACTTGGGGCATCAAGTCTTGCGAATACCCAAAACCCATTCAATGAACTCCTTGGGAAGAAATCCTCTGGTTCCGGACGTCACCCTAGCAGCACGGAAGAAGTCAGACGGGCCACGGGTAGCAGAATTTTAAGGCTTGAGGTTCAGCCTGGTGGTGCTTAGTACTCCCTCCTCCGTTTTGCTGTGGAATTTTCTCGCACTATCAACTTCAAGCTCTTGCATGGCATTATGGTGTTTGCCATTGTCATAACTGCCTTCTCTGTGTACCCATGAACGACTAAGACATGACATGGCTTGGGACGGGAATGTTGGTGGTGTTTGATAAAGGCTGCCTAACTGACCTTCTTTGCATGGTGTTGTTGTGCTGCTGTGGAAAACCCAACCCAACTCTGGCAAACCATGTTCTCGTGCATATATCAACAAAAAGCGAACACAAAACATATACGGACATGTACATACTTAAGACGGGGGGGGTGGGTCGACAGATACAGAGACAAGAGAGCCAAAGCTAAGCTAAACAGAGAGAGAGAGAGAGAGAAGAGAGCGACAGAGAGAGAGAGAGAGAGTGACATCAACAAGCCTATGATCCAGATCGATAATACGAGTTTTCGATGTTTCCACCAAAAGGGTTTAGGGCTTAGAGAACCTGAGTCACGAAGACACAGCTAAATTATTATGAACTCGCCAAGATCACACGGCACAAATGGGAGATGCTTATAGCAAGCTGATCATCTTTCAAGGTTTCGACATTCACCCCCCAACTTACAAATAACAAGAAACACATGCTTCAAGTATATGTTAGTCACTTCCGAACTGCCATGGTCAGTGTTTACGCCGAGGTTTATGCTCTTGATGGCCCCTGCACCCTGTATCTGCCACTTCTGCACGCAAGCCGAAATTTCCAACATCCCAACCCAGCCCAACACCTGCAACAGTGGGGTTTAGGGTTGAGGGTAGCATCGAAACCCCGGACCCTGCAACTACACCAAGACCCTAAAGACCGAAGACCCAGATTGCAAAATCCTGGTCTCAGCACGGTCCCCCAGCAGCCCGATTCAGACACAATTCCCTTTGTCCGCTTTTGCCTTTTCACGAAGGTATGCCAAACAAATGAGCAAGGGAATGGTGGCACTTCATTCTGGGTAACCCCGACGAAACCCGAAAAGCTCGACACCCTAGGTCCGGAACCCTAAACCCACGAAAACAAGTCCGAGGCTCTAAAGGGACGAGTTCAGCGCCCCCGCTGTGTGTATAGACACACAACATTGGAACTCTACCGTCTTTCTGCGGAGGCGGCCATTGGGATTTATAGAGCTCTCTTACTTGACCTATTTAGTTCAAGTGGAGTTGACACGTATTGCCATATGCCCAGCCGTTAATGAAGTTAGTAGTTGCTTGATACGGTGAGTGTCTACCAAGTCTAAGACAAAGTGTACGAGGACTTTAGCCGCGATCGGCTTTCTGTACTTAAGAAGCTACGAATGGAGATATATCCGAAGCCAGAACGCGATGAAAACCCTAATCTCTGTTAAGCCCTATATAAACCCTAAAGTTGTACGTCGAGGGCTGGACGCTTAGAGGATCCTGGAGCTTTCCTTGGGGGTAGCTGGCTTGCTTAAAAATGCTGCAGCAGTCAAAAAAAGTGTTAGGGTTTAGTTTTTTTATTTATAAAGGCCTTTTTTAGGGCTTAGGGTTTTTTTCCCTCTCGCATGGCTGAGGATCTATGCCCACTAGCGAGGTTGAGAAAGTGTCGCTACTCCAACTGTACTAGACAGGACAACTGGGTCAGGAAGTACTTGCTTCGGTTTAGGGTCGAGGGCCGTGAGTTTAGGGTTCAGAGGAAGCCTACGACAACCGTTGACAAAGAAATGGATATTTGGCTTAGGGCGTAGGGTTTAGGGGGTGTGTTCAATGCCACCGGCTGCATGCCCTGAACAGCTTGGGAAACCCTGAATCTCTCGGAGTGTCGACACACCGCACATGTAGAGGGCTCTATACACATATGTATTATACGGACATGCATGCACACTCACTTCAGAACGGCCGGCACAAATCCGAAAATTGTTATGTGCCGACATCGATGCTTGCAACATGTTGACATCACGGTTTTCTCGACCAAACCACCAATGGCTCACCTAAAGAGCCCCAACATAGGACTTTGACTCACGGATACGCAGGGTTCAAAGGCCACAGGTACACATACTTCGGCTGAGGAGGAATGAGTGCCAGAAAGCTTTGGGCCGCGAGTATTTACAATGTTACAACATCGCTTGGATCGTCACCATAGCCTCAGCACTGAACCAACTCTGCAAGGAACCGAAACGGGAACCCGGCTGTGAACAGCACTGTGGCCGCAACGTCGGTACCTCCCGGGGTCTGAGGTCATCTGAGGTCGGCAGTTTCAAGTACTCACTTTCAAGTACTCACTCTCGGAGCTTCGAAAGACAGAATATGTTCTTCTTTGCGGACTTTCAGGGAGGGTATTCTCAATTCTTCCGATCTGTATGTTGGGCTTTGCATGGGGTTGCAGTTAAGGTGTGTGAGCTTGGGGTTCTGCATTTGGCGTTACATGAAGGGGACCGGCATTCGGCGAAGAATGCCAAAATCCATTGCAAAAGCTGGAACGTATAGCAATCACAACCCCGAACTCGCCCGTTGGAGCACTGCCTGGGAGTAGGAACCACCTTATTAAGGCCTTTCCGGCTGCCCTGAAAGGATCCTAAGGATCTACACAGGAGCCAGTAGGGTTTGAATCAGGAGGAAGTACCATGAAAGATCATGAAGAAAGAAGCTCCGGCCCTAAGCTCCACACCCAGAGTTATTGGGCTCCCCGCCCGCTCGGGACAGCAGCAGGAAGAAAACGACGACAAGTTCCTCTGTTTGAAGCTGTTTGGATGTAGGGTTTAGGGTTTATAGGGTGTGGGGCTAGGACCTGAAACCGAGTGCCCGAAAACCCGATGATGAAGCAGAAGCCCCAACATGCAAGGTTTGTGGCTTTGCGACCAGAGGCTTATCTAAGCTCACTCGGACAAGCTAGGCGAGGCTCCAGAGTTTATTTAGAATTTGGGCTTCAAGGGTTCAGGGTCCACAGGTTTAGTGCTTAAGGGAAGGCAAGCATCGTAGAAGATCGGAACAAGCGTGAACAGCAAGGCGCGCAACAGCGTATCGACCTTGGCGATGGAGGAAGACCATGGGGCAGCAATAAGGGCTCCACAGGGCTTCTATGACGATTCTATGAGGGGTCGACAGTCAGGGTTTATCATCATGAGCGTTCTGTTAGGCTTCGAAAAAGGGCTTTATAAGGGCCGGGGAGCCTACAGGTCCTGCCCAACAATCACGGTCTACTACCCATAACCCCAAGACCTACCTTTTTGGGGGGTGTTCGCCTCTGTTTCTATGCGTCCTGTTCTTGGCAAGGTGTCCGGGTCGTTCCTGTAACATTCCTACCCTCAAGCCCTAAAGGCAAACTCGGTTTGGTTCAGGTCGGTAGCTGTAACCCTTTATAACAACATACGGCGAACTGCATACTGACTGAACACGTTCATACAGTTGGACTGACTTCATTCCTGCATACACAGATACGACGGGCGGAAGGAGAAGGTTCATGCAAAGTAACACGGACTAAGAAATGAAACATCGCGCCCTGAACGAATCTGAAAAAACCCTAGCCGCACAAACCCTGATAAATCTTATAAACACTACACAAAGTAAATCTAAACCTCATTAGCCCACAAGCCGAAAGATGGTCAGGCGCAGCACCGCACGGGGCGGTCGCTCCAGTTTTCGGAGGATCTCCCCCGTTCGCCGCATGGCATGGAACCTTTCTGTGACGTCTCATGCTTAGGGTTTATTACAGGAAACTAAAGGTGGGGGAGTTTAGGGTATATAGGGTTACCTGGACCCCAAAAGTATGTAGAATAATAGCCTTTTATGGGTTTTGGGCCATTATTTTACCTACTTTGGGGGGTTTAGGTAGGGTTTATTAAAGGAAACTGAAGGTGGGGAGTTTAGGGTATATAGGGCCTCTATATGGCTTCTATAAGGTATATAGACCTTCTATATAGGCTCCTATAACGGTAACTATCCACCTGAAAATGTCCTAGAGTTTAGGGTTCTAGACTCGGTAACGTGAGGTGCTAGACTTCCTCATTCACTGCACTGCCCGACTGCAAGAACGCAAGCTGCAAAAGACCAACGCTTGCTGACCCTCGCTTAGATCCCCGAGACGGGTGCTTGTGATGTCTTGCCAGGACAGCACGTGCTGATGTCACGGACCAACAACCCTTCCTTAGACAGTCCTTAAAAGGGGAACGCGGAAGAAGAAGGGGCCAAGGATGCCCCAGCAACTCCAAGGCAAGTGTGCCTTGGCATGTATGGGCCGTATGGGGTTTCAGTTTCAGAGCCCTTCATCTTGGTAGGGTTTAGGTATTAGGGTTTAGGGTTTCGACTCTCACACTCGCACTCGGCAGGCAAGGCTCTTCATAGTTTAGGGTTTGGGGCTTTGGGGTTGTAGAAGGATGTCGTGAAGCGAAGAGTGTGAATTTCACACAGCAAACATGTCCCAAGGTCACTCTTCAACCTGGGAGACTCCCACCTTTACATCCCCACCACAGGTAGTGGTCAAGGCCACTAATCACTAAGCTATTGGGAGTCAGGATTAGGGGGACCCTTGGGGATATAGACCCTCTCAATAAGCTCCCTTTCAATAGAGCCAGGGGTTCAGAAGTGTACCCTGCAAGGGGTCTCCCTAGTACTACCCAGTAGGGGTTCTGTAGGAATACGACGAAATCCCAACTGTTCGAGATCTATTGAAGATCCCGGCCAGAAACCCAACCCTATCCAGCAGTTGGTCCCATAACCAGACCATAGGCCCCAATCTCAAATCTCCAAGCCCTCAAGAAGCCACGGTTTACGACGTACAGAGTGTAGCTAGGCTCTGTAACTCGGGACAAAAAAACCTGACCTTCTCCTCCTGAATACTGACCCCCCGATAAATTCTGCAGCCACAAACCCCGACCCCGAAACCCCCCGCTGTCCAGAAACCCCACCGTGGGTACGCGTTGCGTGGGCTTGCTCTCGGAATCTTGCAATGACAGCGAGCTGAGGCACTGGAGATCCAAACAGAGAAGCTTGGCAAAGAGTCTCCCAGCAAGGCGCCTGCCGTATCTCTCTGCTCCCTCTCACAGTGGCTATTTATCAGCAAAATACTCAGGTCTCTGCATATCCCATCCTAAGCCGAGAACCCCCTGCCATTTTTAATTCCTGTTATATAGGTTGGGTGAGAGTGCCGCTCCCGGGACATTTAGGCCTGACATCTTCCGCCCACCGTCCCGGCCTCCCCATGGGGCGCGCGATGAAGCACAACACAGCCGTCTTGCTGTTGTTCAAGGCCTGGGTCATGCCTGTGCAGAGGAAGTCAGACTCAGTGCCCAAATCCGACAAAGTCTCCCTTTGTGCAGTAAGGCACTAGAAGCACGGGCCTCAAACCGGAAACCTTATTCAAGACAGCGCCGATTTTGCCTTCAAGGTTTCCTGGGTGCATCTTGCCTTCTGAAACCCTCTGAAGGCGGGCTTGCTGTCTGCGAAACCGTTTGGGACCTGAAACAAAGCTCAGATTGCCTGGCCTTTCAGTGCAGCGAAGATGGCCAACCATGGCAGGCCCAAGTAATCCTGCTAGGATGGGGTTTAGGGTAGATTCAGTCTAACTAAGCGTCCTGTTTACATTTAGTGCAAAGCAACGATGTCCCAAGAATCTGTAAGAAGCTCTTCTATTTATGACTCTTATGATTGCATGTCCTCACTCCTTCATGAAGGGCCTCTTTGGCCGCTCGGGCCTCACTCCCCTGAAACCCCCAAACCCCTACAGGCCTAAACCCTAAACCAATGGACCCGGTGACCCTCAACCCCCAAAACTCCTAAGCAGGTCCTGGCGGCTTAAAAGATCGACGGCCCGCTTCAGTGCGAAAGGAGCGAGGAAACCCATCGTTTTACTGGAGCCAACCTGGAGTAAACAGATCGGGACAAAAATCTACGCGGTAGCTTAACATAAGGGCTCTCTAGGTACCTAATATAGGGGTCTTAATAGCTAGAATAGGGTTTGGGGCTCCTTTTATACTCTCACTATAGCCTATATTAAACATTCTTCGAGGCTTTATAAGTATTTTGAAGGTTTTCGGGTGTCTCTGGGGTTTTGGGCTGTTGGGTATCTGTTGGGCTGTTGGGGTCTCGGATTTGGGGTTTAGGCTTCTGTTTCGCCTGGGATGTGGCATTGAAGGTCTCGGGTTCAAGGTGTCTTGCGTTCTTGGGTCTAGGGTTTGGGGTGCTTAGTATCGGGGGTCTTGGCGTGTGGGCTTGGGGTGTTGCCTAAGCCCCTCACATGAGCTCGATCATGCAACCTAACATGATAGCCAGGGTTTCGGGTTTAGGTAATATAAGTGCTTGGATAATTACCAGTTTGCCAACCCAAGGGTTCCAAAAATTAAGTGGACGACATTATGCGCCAAAACCCTATTCCACTGATTGAGACCCCCCCTCTTTAGCGTTGGGCATGGTCCAACCTTGTGCAGTTGATTGAGGGTTTAGGGTTTAGGGAGCCATTCATGCTCACCTTCCTTCGGTCTCAGGCGGTTTAGTGTTGAGAGCCATGGAACTCGGCACCGAAAATACAAAAACCCTAAACCCTAAACCGTATAAACCTTAAAGGACTTGAACTCAGACCTAAGTCGTCTACCGCTGAGAATCCGGCAAAACCTCCCAGCATTCGGAAAATGCCTATCGGATTCTGTCTCAGGAGACCCTAAAGGCTAAGCCGTAACCCCTAACCCCTCAACCCCTCCACCCCTAACGGACCGAAACCTCGAGGATGCCTTCCTGACTGCGCCGTACTTTGGCAGGGGTTTAGGGCTTTAGGGTTTAGGAGACTTCAGAGTTAGAAATCGAGCCCTGGGCTCCTTTATAGTAGACTTATAGTAAGTAACTGAAAGGTTTCATATAGGTAATTTAGGCCCCTATAGTATTCATATGAAACTGTGAACTTCTGGAGCATTGCGCCACAGAACGCTTTTACTTTACTTACAGCGTACTCCCACAAGAACATGCCGAACAGCGGATCCTCTAACGGCCCAAACCTCATATGCCATACCCCACCACAACCTGAAGCCCAGCGCCCAAACTTAAAAACCGAAACCGATGACCTACAGCCACAAAGCCTGAGTCTCCAAAATCAGCCTTACACAGCCCAAGCCCTACATCCCAAACCCTAGACCCCAAGCCCTAAGCCCTAAACATCGAAATAATCTGAATCTAAACCCACCTTAACAATCCACATGTCTAAAACCCTCTGAACCCTACCTCAACTCTCAAACCTGCTTGCGGAAGCGCAACCACCAGCAAGCCCACAATGAGCAAGGCCCAACACCGGACGTCAGCCTCGCTCGTGAACGGGAGTGTGGGGTTTAGGGAGTACCTGGGGATCCAAAAACCTATACCGTTTTAAGGTCTCCGGCGTTTAAGACAGGTGTCACGGGTTAAGAACAAGTCTTTTTTTCCCCTCTCGTGTGGCAGGGATCTATGCCCACAAGCTTTCAACAGGGTTTTGGGTGCATGGGTCTCGGGTTTCGGGTGTTTGAGGCTTATGGCAGGCTTATGGGTTTAGGGTTTATAATGGGTTTTCTTTTGTTGTGGACAAGGGCTTGTGGTGTATAAGGTTTCTTGTTGGCAGGGTTTGGGGATGATGGGCTTTAAGATGGCTTTAAAGGTTAGGCGGTTGGGTTCTCTGAAGCTATGGTTGTGCGTTGTCGGGCTTGCAGGCTTGTTTGGCCAAGGGTTTAGGGCTTATATTATATATTATATATAATATAATATATACATATATATATATACACACATAATATATATATAGAGAGAGAGAGAGAGAGAGGGCTGACAGGGTTTGGGACATGACTTGAAGGTCCTCTGCCGCGAGCTACTACTCGAGCGAACCCAAACCAGCAGATGGTGAGTGAGAGAAGAGCTTGCAAGTGGACATTCCTGAGGCAGCGAAGTCACAGGAGGTTCAAAGGTCCTTAGGTCACTCTATAAGCAGCGTTTCAGACGCTCAGCTGCTGCTTGAAAGCGAATCCGATGTCTCTGATTGCGCGGAGTCTTCCGATGATTCATCGGAGGCGCAGTCTGCAGACATGAGCAAGCGAATTGAAGCGCAGCATCTGCGAGGTGTGCTGTCAGGTCTGTTGTCGGTGCTCTGTGCCCGTATTGTACATCGCCTGACGATCCGTCCGGCGTGCCGGGAACGCTCGTTCCCACCTACCCACTTTGCAAACAAGCCCATCTCTTCGCTGAAAACGAGCTCTTGGATTTTCAAGTTGAAAGCTTCCACATCGGAGATCTTCGCCATGATCATCTCTTTGTCAGCTTGGGACGAAGCTGTGCATTGTCGGACATCTAGTAGTGACAGCTTGTCGTAGTTGAGATCTACAGCATCTTGCGAAGAAACTTGTATTCGAGACTCCATGCCCAGAACGCTGGCCTCGAATATCTCGGCAACACACCATGCCCGGTAAAGCACATCGAAAACATCATCGACCACAATGAGCTGTGTGAAACCCTCCACCTGCCATGCAAGGTGTGTCATCATGTCGTCGAACTTGTTGAGTTCACACCTTGCGTCAGTGTGGCTCAAAACTTTCTCCACTCGGCAATTGCATAATCCAAATGCTTCACCTGTAACTGAGTCATATCGCCTCCTGTCCCAAACAGCCCATTCGGGCGTCCCCTTGGGCGGTTCGGGTGCAAAGCCAGCACAAATGCTGGCATGCTGGTTGATGCAAAAGGCGCACACCCAGTAGGTCGTCTCCAGCTTGCTACCGAGCTTGGCCTGGACGCGTTCAAGGCCTGATCCAGTGCCAATCTGGGCCGCAACCTCGTGGAAATCAGCCCGTCCTAAAGCATCCGCCAGGATTGCCGCCACTAGACTTCCGAAACCATTCGTCCAGTTGTGCGTGACCATGACTTGCGGTTTCGTCTCGGTACTGGACCACAGAGTTGCCAGGGCAAAGCCGCCATGATCTACTCGAGATTCCGGGATGATGGCACGTCTGACCACATCGTTGGTCAAGGAACGTCCGGAGTCAAAGCCTGGCATCACCTGACCATCGAGAAGTCGCTCCCAAAAGCGCACAAGCGCACCGAGGCGAAAGCCTCGGTTTGCTATCTGCTCCACCACCTGGTCGTAGCCTTCCTTTTCGTTGGGGCTCAGGAGGCTTGACATGGAGACTAAGCCTCGGGTGAGTTCACGTCCAGACTGCGGGTCATCCTTGGGAGGTTGCACTTGCCAGAGAATCCCAGACAGAAGGCCCAGGCCCAGGGAGTTCACTACCCACATGGTGTTGTCCGCGGCGAACACCAGCTCCATCCACTTAAACGCGAGCCGATAGTGCGCATCCGACCCGGTACCCCAAGAGTGCGACTGGGCATACATGGATATGCAAGAGACGACGCCCTGGCAAAACATGGTCAATCCCAAGATTGTGCAAATCAGCATCTCCATACCAAGAACTTGCGCGGCCCACATAGCCTGTTTCCTTGGAGGCCCGCGCACTCGCCCCGTTTCGTGCAGCAAAATACTCATCTTAAGTGACAAGCTCCGGCATATCAGCGCCATGTAAGCCACCCAAATAGTACACAGCACCGACTGGCTCACAAAGAAGGGCCAAAGATTCACACTCACAGCGTGTGGGTTTGATACATACGTGTTGCGAAAGAGCCAGCTCCCGCACATGACGAGTATCCATGTGTAAGAACAGAATGACGAATAAGAGGGTTGCACCAAGCTAGACCCCACAATCCGAGCCTGCAATAAATTCAAAGTCCAGCCAAGCCCAACACACTGCACTCCACAACCGAATTTTTGCAAAAAGATGAAAGCTTGGCGGTTATTGTCCAGCAACATGACAGAGAACTGCCATGCTGCCGATGCTAGCCAAAAAGAGAACATGCACCACTTTGCATCATGTGTGCCGGTGGAGGCTGGGTGCTGCCTCAGCATGCAGCAAATCCATATCAGTGACAACAGGACGAGAGCAAGTGTCTGTTGACCCGGGCCGAACAACTTCCCACCGGTCCCACCATGTTCGATAAAAGCCCAATGGATGCAGGGATAGCCTGCCAGACACATGGCGAGAAAAGTGATCAAGGTGCAAAGCACGACTGTGCATCTTGCGGAGCAGTGCCTGCCAGCCGAAGAGCCAGGGACATGCACGATTCCGAGGCATAGCCCAAACCAAGTGCTCACAACATCTCCGAAACAGTCGTGTATCTGACGCTCACAGAGGCATCTCAGAGCAGAGAGTGCCAGCAGACCCAAAAGAAGGCTGCAATACAGTAGGCGCCACTTGACGTCAAAGGCAAGGGGCCAGTGGCTTGCAAGGATCATGCCACAGAACACAAGAAATACCCCTCGAAGATGGCTCGATGCTGAAAAAAACATACAAATCGCACTCTGTCAATACCTTGCCCCTGAAACTCTAGTATGTCGATTTCTAGTTCCGGGTCTCGGGCTGCTTTGTATCGTCAATGCGTACCTATTGGTTGCCAGAGCAAGAAGCAGAGTGTCAATCGCGCAGGCTCCTTTTGGAGGGCATTAGGGGTGACGAGCGGCTGGCTTGCATTCTTGATAGGGTTTAGGGGGTGTTCAGGATGGTTTAGGCGCTAGAGGGTAAGACTGGGATCACAGCTCGCTTTCTGCGCTTTTTTGGGCAGCCCTTGAGCACATCTCCTCGAATTTTGCGGAGCTTCTGGACAGCTGCAAACCGAAACCCAAAGCCCTGAAGGCCAAACCCTCCACCCCAAGACTGAGCCTCCAAACCCCTCACAGCTGAGGATCCGAGACTAGACCGCCATAACAGCCGTAACTGTGGGCTGCAGGACGTTTTTGTCGTGCCAAGATGCCAGGTCCAGGAGAAGCGCCCACACGCTGCCTCAGCTTGTTCAGCGCCGGCCACCAACAGTTAGGGGGCTTCGTTAAATCGGGGAGGGTTCGATTTCAGAAATTCAGGGTCGATATCTGCCAAATCCAGCTGTTTTCTGAAACTTACAAGTCAGTTGTCTCTGCTTGCTTCGCAATCATCGGAGGGGGAGGGGATTGCCGTCCAGGGGCCTATGGGCATCCAGATTCTCAAAGCGCTGAACGTGCTGGGTGTTGTTCTGAAGTCCGGCTCCCTTTCCTGTTGCTAGCCTTGTTGTGGAAGACGGACCCCAGACGGAGCCATGATTTCGGAACCACATCTGCGGAGTCTCCTCGCCAGCGGTTCTCATTTCGAGGGATTACCACGTGATGCTTTGAATGCATACAGCTGAAAGTATGCTGAAAGTAGTCTCGCTGCAGTCGTTCCACGGATCCTGGGACCGCAAAAGAACGAAACCAAAATGATTGGAAAGAAGAACAGTGGTAGCATCTGCGGTGCAAAGGAACACGGTCATGTCTGTGAATCCGCAACATACGGCCTCTCAAGGCTCCTGTCTTGGTCTCAGCATGATTTCAATTGATTCATGCACCAGGCAGTTCGAATGTCTGCATTGACACTGCGTTCTGCCCGAGCGAATTATCTTCCCAAGGCCACCCGCCACCCCGGGCGCTGCCAAGCCGCCCAGAGATGTTGGAGACAAGACCGAAGGCTCTTCTGCCTCCTTTCACGGAAAAGTCTAAGAGTCTAAGGCGCACGTGGTAGTTCCGCACTGCTGATGCTGCTGCTGCTGCTACTACTGCTGCCACTACTGCTGCTGCTGCTGCTGGTACTACTACTACTACTACTACTACTACTCCTACTCCTACTCTGTGAGTGCACATGCATGTCAGTGCTTCATGTGCACAGGTCTCTGCCAGCTGTAGTTCTGTTTGCATGCTTGTGTTAATTTGAAGTTTGTCCAAAACGAAACGTTTTGGCTCAAGTACCTTGTT